CTTTAGTGCCGATTCCTTTTGAAAAACCTGAAGTTAGAAGTTGTCCAACATGTTATTGCATTGCCTTAGTCAGCATACAGTAGCTTCTACATAGGGGTCAAATTCAGACGGTTAAACTTTGTATAATAGAAAAACCACCACAAATCAAATGAGTTAATACATGAATACTTCTAAGCCATGGCTATGAGCTTTTAACTATATTATTGCTATTCCTTCTGCAGAATAATGCAGAAAGTGGTATTTCATTCCATTCATGCATGTCTGAGTAACCCTCGAGAATTCAGTGGCCATGACAGGTCTAAGTAGAGCCGTCATTCTTCGTCCCCTCCAGAAGGGACCTATCTTGCATTCCAGCTCAGTAAATAACACACCCACCGTCTCTGGTCAGCAAGGGATCGGACAAAGCATTTCTGCTCAAAATTGAGATTTAGTACAGTTTTTAGAAGCCAGTCTTAGTTAATAACAGCAACTGTTCTTATTATAGTGAGCAAAAATCTCCCAATGATTCTAGGCTGGTTTCAGACTTTCTACAGCCTTCCTAAAGAAAGGTTGATGAAAAAAAGATAAGATATTTAAGATCTTTACAGTAGATTATGTATGTATTTACAATCATCCTCTCACTTTGGGCCTGATCTTCAGAAGGTTTACGTTTTAAAAAGCAGGTAAAACATGTTTGTCATAGCAGAGCAGATTTTTTAAAGAAGGTGCAAACTGATATGTGTTTGTACTTCACCGGACAGTGTTTGCAAACCTTTTTTATGTGTCTTCATTAATATACAGATTATATTCTGGATGTTGAGGTGCCAAACCACTAAAACTTGTGAGTGTAGGATATATGAAAGTAAACATTTACCACCTGGAACTGACAAGCAGAAAGTTCTGCTGCCGTTGTTGCTGCTGTAAAAGAATGCATTGATGAAATGCCACAGGATTAGAGAGATTCTGTTAAGATTTGTGTTAAAATATTTGAACTGTCAAAAATAACAACAGTAGAATAACAACAATAAGGAAAAAAAACTTTCATTCAGGTGGGCACAAATTTATGCAGCAGGATGGCAGACAATCTTTATTCATTTTAAGCCGAAAGAAAAAAGTGACCGTGAACAACAAAAGATTCTACAAACTGGCTTGTGCGCCTTAACATTTGTGCAACATTTTTTGTAGATCATCTGGAAAACCAACTTCTTGCTCATACTGAAAAAAAAAAAAAATTACATGCAATTTAGTGCCTGTTATTTTTGAATCTTTAAAGATCAGGCCTTTGTTGCAATATCACAATTAAAAAGTATTGGCAAAATTTTGTTTGATATTTTAGGTGACCAACATTTACACTCTGCATACAGCTAATACCATATTTCAGTGTTAATCTCTAATTTATCTCTTTAATGACTATGATGCTAAGCTCACACACAGTTGGGGGTGAAGAAATTAAAGTAACAGGAAAATTAGAAGATTCTGAGGTCATCGGACATTGGACCATTACATTTGCAATATGTGATATCAGGGCTAAATGTGAATGAACCTTTTACAACTTTTTAAAGCAGGAATAAAAACTGAAAAAATGAAATGTTGACATGAATGAGCTGCATCTGTCTCCCTGTAATATGTTTTCCTGCTCTGAGTCAATAGCTGCTCTGTGAGATCTCTCCTCGTTTCCTCCTCTTCACGACTCAAGGGGGAGTTCTCCCAATCTCTCTCTTAATGGGTTGTAGGCCGTCAGCTTCAAACAGACACTCTTTTCACGTGTGAAGTGTGCTTCGCTGGTTATGCAACCGATTCATTGACTCATTGAACTCTTTTTAATTCAATCTGTTTTCAGCCTTTAGTCTGACATTCCCTCGCCTCTACACGATTTTTTGAAAGTCAGGGCGTTTGTTTATCTAAATTCCTCCATTTAGCTGTGAAAAGACATAAAATAGACACAGTCAAGCATTTTGCTATTTTTTTCCAACACTCCTGCCTTTTTATGGTAAGAAAAAAGCAAAACTGCCCAGTAAGAATAGCAATGGTTCTTAAAATATATCATTATAGAAGGAGAAGCTTATTATGCTCCTATGGCTTCCAATTTTTTGGTAACAGACCTCCCAGGTTTCACATTCAGATTTGGATCCTAGAAATAAACCCCTTCTTTGAAACAGCTGGATAAGACTCCAGTTGATGTTGTGGTTCAGGAGCTGCCGCCTCTTAACTCATGATTCAGTGCACCCCTGCCGATGTGTATCTGCAGCTATTTTTAGCTGCTCAGACAGAGGTATATACTGTAAAAATATACACACCCCTACAGCTCCCAGCTCCCACCCCTACAGTGTTCGTCTGGGTTACTGATAGGCAAGGCTGTACCCGGTAGGAGCAGTTTTGTTCAACATAAATGTGAGAAACATTGTACTTGTTTATACTTTGCAGCCGCATTTATCCCTCCTTAATTCCTACACATGTAGCCACTATATTCCTATTTGATTTCCCTGTCGGAGAATGTGCCTCTGATGCATGTTCAGTAGGTGTTAATGAAATAAGTGAGCAACCCTTTGATGTTTTAACACCTTCTCTCAGCTGGAGAGGAGCTGTAATCCCATTGCTGGGTATCTGTTGCCTCTGCAGGTTCCCTGCTTTGTTCCAGCATTTAAAGTTTCTGACAGTGGGATACACCACACCATTTTTTTATTTTTTTTGTTGCACCAACTTAAGGAAGAAGGGTCTCTGGTCTCCTAGCAACAGTCAGCTGTCACCATGCCCAAGGAGGTAAAATTAGTCGTATTAGAGAAAGTGAGGAAGAGCAGGAGAGTTCCTCTTTGTCTTTCCTCGTATCGTTTTCTCCTCTTATTCCACAGATGTCTGTAATTCAGATTCTGCTTTGAAGTTTGTTTTTAACTGAAATTATTTAGATTTTCATGCCATTCTTTTCCATAATGGGACACCTCTTATTACATTTTAATACATTTAAATAAAGCGTACAATTATCTTCATTCTTTATACAAACTCTTGGTGTATTTGAGGTTTCAAATTAATTCAACTGATTTCATTTAAATACTGCCAATTTCAACATTTCATCTCAAGGCACTTTTCTAGACAATACAGTCAGATTGGTTAAAATGTTTTTCTTCTAATGAAACCCAGTTGATTGCAGCTTTTATTGCTAAAGATCATTGCTACCCAGAATTTTGATTAAAATTTTGTTGGAGGGGGAAAACTTATTGAAAAAAGGGGGGAAAAAAACACAGACATGAGATGTGTGATAGCAACGGCTGAACGTGTCAACGGGGAGTAAATTTTGCTTTTTATTTAGTAATCAGAGTCTGGAAAAATCGATATTGCTTGAAATCTAGTGTGAAGTTTCCAGACTAAGTGATGAATTGGGGAGCCACAGGATCTGCAGGTTATGGTCCACTGGGTTTTCTGAAGTTTTTGATAAACAGGTCATCCGCCAGGGAGTTTTAGAGTACCCCATGCCTCCTTCTGGTGTTGGTCTTTATGGAGATGCTGATTTCATCCTCTAGTGAGATTTGGCACATGTCTACAACTGGTTCTAATACTTACTGTTGTAAAAAAAACAAAAAATGTATTCAACTTTGCAATAAAGTTAACAGAGGAGGTCGGTGGTAATTCACTCAGTTGGCATTTTTTTATCTTTGCAAAGATGAGAACAAGACAATCGTAACACACAGTTCGATGTTCTGCCATGTTCTGACCTAAAGTAGACAAGGTTTCTCTCACTAACCTAAAGCCTGCAGAAAAGCTGTGAAGGTCTCTACTAACAGTTAATCCAAACAAGTTAAAGTTAAGGAAAATAGTGAAGTGTTGAATTAACCTTGGGAAAAAGTCTGGCCTGTGTTGTGGAATTATTATTTTCTGTTTTAAAGAATCCCTAATGAAAAAGCAAACAATTCCTCTCACCAAAAGGCTGTGTAGCCTTGCAGATTTGAGGCCTGAGTGAATACTTTTGGAAAGTAAATAAAATATTATGAAGGGAATTTATAGGAGATGGATTTTTCCCACTACACTTCCTACAGCCAAATATTGTAGAGAATCCCTGGAGCGCTATTTACAACTCAGCAGAACAACAGCAGCAACATCTAGATGCTGCACAGTATTGTTGCACTGATGCAGGAAAAAAAAGAGCACATGGGCTAACAGGAAATGGATGGATGAACGGACAGATGGATGGATGCCTTTTAGTAGGCAGTTTCTGTATTAAAGATACCTTTTTATTTGTCTTATGATTTTTTCAAAATTTCTATAAAACTGAAATGACACTAAGCCATTATCATCATAATTAATTATAATAACTGTTCTATTTCACTTTTCAAATAGAAATCCTACAATTACTTATAAAAGGACCCTTATGTTTGGTTAGTCTCCCCCACCTCCTCCTCCTCTCTCCTGGGTGCTCCCATCAACATAGCTTACAGGTGTTTCCATGCATACAGATGCTCTCTGTGAGCTGCGTGTGTTCTGTGCTGCAGTGTAATTAAACACAGTGCATATGCTGTGAAGCGGCTGGTCAGGGTCAGGTCAGTGGATGTGTTCAAACCCAGTGTAATAAGCCTGTTTGGAGAAAAAAGCTTGCAGACAGTCTCCAGAGGTTTGACTATTGTTTTGTCTAAAGCCCCTCAGGCAGCCTTTGAAAGGAAAGCATATCATCCTTCTTTGGTCTTACTGAAGTAATATTGCACCAACACGTAATTCACACATAGCATCAGCCTCCAAAACACCTCCTACAGACTTTCACATCTACACATACTGTATATATCGAATCCCAGGCTTTCCCACATGTGATAACATCTTGAAGCAGTGTTTCAGAATGTATTAACAGAGGAGCAGACTGAACACTTTTATTTAATGTAAAGACCATGAAACGTCACAATAAAGAAGGCTTTATGGCCGTAATTTAAAGGCAGAACATCAGTCTATAAGATACTTAATGTCAGTAAAATGACTTGGGCTTTTTTTAAGATGTTCAGGTGATTAAATGACGTCTTTTTTTGTTTTGTTTAATTTTTCAGGGACGTGAAGCCGGACAATATCCTCTTAGATGAACAAGGTAATAAAAAAATAGAGTGGCACCAGCGACTGCTTCTACTTCAAGGTGTATTCAAGCGCAGTTGTAAAATTTGTGTAACACCGTCCTAAAGATCAGCTTATGTGAAAAAAAATTCTGAGTTTATAGAAATTTTTGTTTGAAACTTGGTGATAATCCACAGATCAAAAGTGTACAATTTATTAGTCAAGGGATTTTACAGTTTAGTTCAGTTCAGTAGCTTTTATTTGTCCCAGTATGGGCAATGTTTGTGCAGTAGTAGTACACCTTTTCACACACATGTTCATATTTCACAAATCACAGATAAATAACATTCACTTTAAATCAATTTTCTCATTGGTTTATGAACCCAATCAAAACATCCTACCTGCTTTAGGAGAGGGATGTTCAAAGCTTGTAACCTGTCAACTTTTAGATATGTGTGTGTATATATATATATATATATATATATATATATATATATATATATATATATAT